GAACGAACATCATTCAAAGTTGAATCAAGGTATGTTGGTATTTGAAAAAAAAAAAATTGGGACACGAATGACTTGTTTTGCACATAAATAAAAATAGTGGTTAAATACCTTTCTACCGAGATCCCATAAGTCTATATCAGAATAGTTTTGTCCCAGTTATTTAAGTTTTTCGTAAATCAATCTTTGCAAAAAGTAAAAAACAGCAACAAAAATCACATTATTACGATTCCGTTGAAAAGATTTTCAAATATTTTTATGCAGTTTTTTTAAGCCTAGTCTGTTTTGTAATCTGAGGGGACTTTTTTCAAAAAGTTCTTTAAGAAACTATTTTTATTCATAAAAAACTCCATTTTTGGAGGTATTTTCAAATATTTTTCCGAAATATTTTGGTGGACGTCTTAAATATAATAAATTTCCCGGCGGAAAAACCGCAACCTTTTTTGGTGATGCAGTCTAATGTACATATATTAAAAGTTCTCGCTATCAGTGGATTTCCCTATAAAAACTACTTTTGTTTAACTGTTTAAACTCAATGAATAAGCATACAAACATTAAAAATGGTGTATATATCACTTTAAGGATTTATTCAAATCTTTAATACGAAAATGCATTCTACATTTAAAAAAAGTTTTTTGACATTTTCCGCCATGTGAGAAGTTTTTGAGGCATATAATTTGGACCGCAATAAATTTCCTTCCCATAAAATTTTATAAAAATAGTTTCTAAGATAACTCCTTCAAAAACGCAGAACTAGGCTTTATTAAACTGCCTTTCGACAATTCATCAACCCAAGTGAACGTATTGTCCGTGTACTCCACACCAGTTAAATGAAGCTTGCGGATAATATAGCCAGCTATATACTCGACCGCGTCCTCGTGGAACTGGTCTATGTCGCTCTCTATGTTAAAATCATCTGCAGAGACGATGGAGGCGTCAGATTCAACGAGATATTCCGAGATGTAGTCACAATGAGGAAGGTCTCTCAGTGGAAGCCAGTTCGTAACATCTTCGCCAACATTTACTCTCCCAGGGAGGAGTGCTGTGTTTTTGCGAAATTTTACATGAAAAGTAAAAAAAAATACACATACTAATTAAATATATTACAGAGAAATCTTTTATAAGCCTATCCTACCAAGAAGATATTTTCGGAGCCGGTATTTGAATTGCATCGGTGTTGGATTATCCTGCAATCCACCCTTCGCCCTCATTGCACCGAAAAAGTTCTCCAACACATCTTGGTTCAGCCGATAGGTTAGCAAATACCGCAAACCAAATTTTTCTTGCAGACAATGGAACAACGACCGTAGAGATTTGTTGCTCATCAAAATTCCTTTCTGGAAAGGAAGAAGTGTTCTCCTATAGGTTACCTTTGCATTGAGGGCAATGGAGTCCATTGTTTCTAAAACTTTCATCTGTTGCTCCATATCTACCCCAAATGGCCTTTTCGAAGGAATATTTTGTATCGTGGTCTTGTTTGTGTTCATTAAGTCGAACCAATCATTAATGGCGTCAATAAAGTCAGCTGTTTCGAGCGGATTATAAAGCTCTTCACCCATTTGATAACATCGCCTTATAATGCTAGCTGTGGTGTGGGAAAACAGCTGGGAAGCAAGGCTTACTTTTTGGCGACCGGCATAGTGAACGGTAAAATGTTTCTCTGTCAATTTCACATAATGCAGATGTGCAGCGCATAATTTGAGTACGTATTATTTTGTTGCGAAAAACAAAGCCTTCGTCCAAGAAATGGTTTCGAATCAGCTTTAGCAAATGCGGAGCATCCGTGAATACAAAAATTTTGTCTTGCTTTTCAGCTGGGTTCGGAAACCATGTTTTTTCTAAAAGTATACAAAAACAGAATTTTTAAAAGCTATTGCTATTTTTCTGCTTATATAAACAAAACCGTACCCCAGGAAACACCTAATTCTCGCCACAGCCCTTGATTTCCCGTACCCATATTGGATACTACTGCAACTACGGGATAGCCAGCACGAGAGAGATTAACTATAATTTCTTCTATTATACTTTTTGTAATTTTGCAGTCAAATGCATAGAAGACAGGCTGCTTCCAGGACCATTTAATTCCCCTAGCTATCACCATTTGAACATAGTTCTTCGGCGATCTCACAGTATCCGTGAGAGGATCATGTTCAAAGGCCGAAGCAATCTTCATCTCATCAAATACCAAAACACAAAGCCTGTCTACCAATTCTATTTCATTCACGGCCTCCATTGCGTCTATAACGAAGTGTAGAATTCCGTCGTAGAACTTTAGCTTTTGCAGCCACCTCGCCAATGTAGACTCTGAAGGCAGAGGAAATCCGGTATAAATGAGTATATGCCCTTGGGCCCGCAGCATTCAATGGCAATGCCCACGCTATGTCCTCATATTTCCACCGCATTTGTCTACTGGGAGTTTCTAGTTTTCGCACTTGATTCAGTGTAAAAACAGAACGGCAACTGGTCCGCATCGCTCCTCGATTTCCGCCTTCATTTTAGCTGACTCATCCAGCAATTTTTCAACTTGCTTCTTCAAAGCGACGTTTTCCCGTTGAAAACTACTTTCGAGGACGGTTCTGTTACATAAAAGTCTTACACCCTTATTGCGAATGTTGACTGGCAGTAGATAAACGACTATTAAGCGATTATCGATTATCGATGCTATTGTGAGTGTCGCTTAGTCGCTCAATCAGCGACTGTGAATACTTTTAAATCGCTCATCCTTCTATTGCTGTTTTTTAGTCGTTGGAGTTTGCGTTTATAAAATTTACATAAGAAAGTGGTACTATAATGGATAAAAAGTAAGTCAATTGATCTGGAAGTTGTAAAAAATTGTGAAATATACATATGTATGTATGTATCTGAATTACAGGAGATGCAGGAGAATGAGGACATAGGCAAAGGAATTTTCGGAAAGAGTAGGGGAGGAAGCTCCGCTTCTATTGTGAAAGATATACAATATTTCTTGTGCATATAACTCCGGCTGCGGCATACACAGTGTTTTTGCGTAGAACCAACATCAAAATTTACAAAAAACTGCATAATTTATTAATTAACTAGCGCTCGGAAATTTGAAATCTTTTTTTTTATGTTAAAGTTTTTAAACTCGGTTCACGCGTTTGGACACAAATACCCAACATCATTGTACAAATAACTAAATCGTACCGTATTTCTTAAACTTCCATGATGTTTATTAATCAGGAAAAGAGCTTTTCCTGCAAACACTGTAACCTAAAAACCGTGAAGCATCGGGAACGCAATTTCTATTCATTAAATTCACATTTGTACATACACTTCATCTTCCAACTCCAAGGGATCCGATAAATCTCACAATTCCCTCCTTGCTTTAGCCAGCTCTACTAATCTATTAGCTTCCACATTATCTTCCTCATCACAAAACCATATTTCAACTGTGTACAGTTTTTAAATCTTATAATAAAAGCAATTATTTTAAAAATGATGTAAATGAAACACTAAAGAAACAAATGTAAACAAGCAAACAGCTGTTTACAATTCAGTCAACCATTCACAATAGTACAAATTTTATCGATCAAGTTACACAATAAAATATGATCGACTCGATCGACACATTTCTATTCTACTGCCAGTCGACACTCGCAATAGGGGTGTTATTTGTACATACATACGTATCAAATGTTATACATAAAACGTACTCAGTTTGAGTGGACCTGGCTCATCCCAACTTTTTAAATATTCCACCTTCATTGGAACTGCTACTCCTGATAAACGCTTACGTTGTCTTTATCTTCGAAATGAAGCTGACAAACTCTTGCATTTGGCTGTTTTTTTTACTTTAGTTCTGAAGTATATATGCGTACTAAGTTTTTAAATATCTTAACTTTAACGGGAATTTTTTTTACAAACTTTATTTTCGTTACCATTTAAAAATTTCACATCTAAATTCTAGCTGTTATATTATCAAATAATTATGTTTTAGTTATAAGTTTAAGTGGCTAGACCAAAGTCCCTTTTCATAGTCATCCGAGCAGAAACGCTTGGAGATAAGTACCGAATCCGTGATTAGTGCGAGCCATGGTGTATTAATAATTATATCATTACACAATGATGTAAGCATGGGTGTAAGCCAAAAACAAATAAAAAAATAAGTTACCAATTCGATTCATTGGGAATTGCTAAATTCTTACCGGAAACGCAATTGAAAAATCAATAGTTGTAGAAGGTGATGATGCTGCTGGTGTGCGCTGCTCCAACAATCTGTTGGAAGAAACGCAAACATAAAGACTGGTTAAAGTCTGATAATATAAATGTGTTGGATGTAATAATTTCCTACGTGGAATTTGCTTATAAAAACGCTGCTGATAGCGCAGCTTGGCGAGACACTGCTCCAGTAATCTGTTGGAAGAAACACAAACATAAAGACTGATAATATAAATGTGTTGGATTCAATAATTTCCTACTTGGAACTTGCTTCTAAAAACGCTGCTGATAGCGCAGCTTGGCGAGACACTGCTCCAATAATCTGTTGGAAGAAACACAAACATAAACACTGGTTAGAGTATGATAATATAAATGTGTTGGATTTAACAATTTCCTACCTGGAACTTGCTTATAACACCGCTGTTGGTAGCGCCGCTGATGAGACACTGCTCCAATAACCAACTCTA